CATTGTGTGTTTTGCCCTGCACGGTTTTGTTAGTCTGTTTTATGCAGAGAAAAGAAAATAATAGTAGTTAATACAATTTGTATTCTTATGTGCTTTAACAGACCAGCATACCCAGTGGATTATGAGTTATTTTTGTGCGATTGGTCCTCTTCTTAATTTATGTTTTTGTTCACGTTTTTTTTTTCTTGGGCGCTGTGTGCTTTTTCCTGCAATGTTGTGTGTTGGAGTGTTTTGTTGGGAGAGAAAAATAATAAAGAATACATAAGTAAAATTGTAATTGTGCTTGGTCCTACAAGAAGAGGCAGTTTGATTTTATTGCTGTGTCTGCTTCTGATGGTCGTACTCTTTAATTTCTTTTTTTTCTTTTGAGGGTTTAATTGGGATTATCTGTTTGTTATTGAGTATTGTGTACGTTGTTCCTTTTATTTGGGCACTATCTGAGTTATGGTTGCGCCTTTTTTTTCATGTGGGTGTTTCTGCTTTAATTATTGAGTGTTGTTTGATTTGGTATGTGTTCTTATTTTCTTGTTTACATTGATTCACTTTGTTTATGTTTTTCTTTCCGGTTTTTCTCTTTGTGTAAGTGATTGAAGTAAGACTACTGCAAGAAGTATTGTAATGGTAATGATGCGCTACGTGCTGTGTATCCTCGCTCTCCTGCTCTCATGTGCGTGTGTGCACGTCCTCGCTGAAGAAGTGCCTGCCGCCGATCTTTCCGACCAAGTCCCTGATACGGAGAGTGAGACAAAGATTCTTCTTCCTTGTCCTGCTGCTGGTGCTTCTGAGCCTGGTTGTTCTGGTGGAAGTAGTGGTCATTCCCCCGGTCCTCTTCTTACTTCTGAGTCTAGTACTCTTAATCCTGCGCTTCAGAAGGAGAGAAAAGAGGGTGGTGATGATAGAATTCCTGTTCCTCAAGCTATGGGTGTTGCTGGGGGATTGAGTGATCAAGAAACTTCACATCTTGCTGGTCAAAGAGAAACTGAACACCAACCACTTCATGCTGCTTCAACTACAAGACCCAATCCTGGTGACAGTCAAACAGTGCAGGGTCACAATCATGATAGAGGACAGACTCAAGACCGAACACATCAAGGAGGAGCGAATGTTTTATCACCGATAAAAGAAGTACAACCTTCTGTACACGGTGGAAAAGCAGAAGAGAAATCACAAGAGAATTCAAAGGAGCAGCTCACTCTCCAATCTAAAGGTAGTCCCAATGAGAACTCTGATGCGCCACAGAGATCTGGTCCCCAGGTGCAGGAACCATCATCTGCAGACACACACGATGACGACAAAAATGAGAACAAGCGAGACAACCGCAGTGTATCAAGTGGAAGTACAACTACGAATAGTGGCACACTAACACAATCTTCTTCACCAACATCTACTGAAGCCAATGCTACACCTTCACCACAGGAAACTGAGGGGAATAATGAATCTGACCATAAAAACGCTGAAAGCGGCACTGCACCAGAAGGGAGTGGGTCACCAAATACCCAACAAGGTGCTGTGGAAAATGCGGATACCACCACCACAACAACACTTCCTCCTGAACTCACAAACAACAAGAAGGGTGATGCAGACAGCAGCAGCAGTATCAGCAGTTCTGTGTGGGTACGTGTACCACTACTGATTGTGGTTACACTGGCCTGTATTCTTGTGTGCTGATTGTAATTGTGGTGGTGTGACTCAGGTCATCCTTTGTTTTCTTCTTCTTTTTTGCATGCATCCCTACAGTCTAACTAATCTTCCACCTGTTGGGATTATATTCTTCTTTTTTGTTTCATAATGTTAATGTGTGTTTTGTGTTTTTTTTTTGCTCTCTATGTTTACCCTATAATAATAATTATTATTGCTACTCCATTGTGTGTGTGTATGTTCTTGGAGACTCTCTGTGTGTGTGTACTTGGGCTTGCACTGTGATAATGATGATGATCTGCTTTTTACAATGAGAGTAAAAGAAATAATAATAACAGATGAATTTATATTTATAATTGCGTTTATATATACATATATAGACTTACATCCATAGTTGTTGTGTATTTCTGTGTGTTTACTGTGTAACTATGGTTAATGGTTAATATCTTTTTTTTGTTTGTGATTTGCTAGTTCTTTTTGTGCTTTCTCCAGCGGTGTTATGATGATCTATGTCGAAGAGAGAAACGAAAAAATAGTTATTCTTGCTCATAATTTCGTTATTGCTTATAGGTACCAGCATTCCTAGTCTTCTTTGTGATTCTATGTTTAGTTGGGCATTTCGTTGTGCTTTTAATTTTTTTTCTTTACTTCTCGTTTTCTAGGGTTTTTTTTTTTGATGCCTCTTTATTGGATTCTTTATTGTTTGTATTGGTAGTGTTGTATTGTGTTTACTGTTGTTTTTGTTGTGTTCTATTTTACCATCTGTTTTTCTTGTTTCTATTGTATGGGATCGTTTTTATTTTTCCTCTTTGTTCACTTTTTCTTAAACAAAGTGACGGTAAAACAATCAAGAACTACTCTTGCTATGATGATGCGACCCGTTGTGTGTTTGCTGGTTTTTCTGCTGAGTGTTGCCTCAATATGCGTGGAAGGTGACCCAAACCCTGCTGAGGAAGATGACCTTAAAGCTGGCACTTCGGAGTGTCCTGCTGGTACTCCTCCTACTACTGGCAAATGTAGTTCTCTTCCTGGTCCAACACCACCTTCTGCTCCACTTACACCAGGTCCTGCTAATCCAAAAGGTGATCAAGATTCTGGTAAAGCTTCTTGCCCTGATGGAGAGGGAAGTGACGATAATTGTCGTTCTGAGAGTGCTGATACGTCTTGTTCTTCTACGCCTTCTGATTCTACTGATGGTCGTACTTGTCCTCAAACCGCCGTGCAAAAGCCGAATCACGATCAGTCTGGTGGTGCTGCAGATGGTCCTACAGATGAAAGAGGTACAGTTGGCAGTGGGCAGGTGTCGGATACTCATACTGGTAGTGGTCCTGTCTCTCCTTCTGCTCATCCTACTGCATCTCCTCCATCTCAATCTACTACTGAAGAGAGAAGGGATCCATCTCCAACTGTCCCTCAAACTGGAAACAGCGGC